TTATGGCTTTTGGAGCTAATTAGCAGGTCAGCTGGTAATGTCCCTGCATTCCTTCCTTGGGAAAAAAGCTGTTTAACAAGAGCTCAAACTAATGAGCGAGGCTTCATTTTCTGATGGGGTGCTAAATGCTGATAACAGAGCTGATAAATGCTCTGTTATTGGGGGGGGGTCCCTAATCACAGTGTCCTGCTGGGTCCTGGCCATGCCCCCCACATCTCAGCACTGTAGAAGGGAAGGGAGAGCTGCTCTAGCCTCCACCCCGTTTCTACTCTAAGCCATTCCAGGCATGTATGGGCATTTTTTTTCAGTCCAGAGGGGATGTCTGTGGAGTTACAAAGTGACTTAGCATAGCCAGGTTAGACTAACCTGCAAAGATTGAAGCAATTCAGGCTCAGGCTTTTTGATCATCTGTCCCTAGCCTGTATGACTTTGGACAAGTCATGCTGTCTCAATGCGCCTCAGCTTCTTTCCTGAAAATGGTGAAATTAGGAGCTTTGTGGGGATAAAAATATGAACAAGACTGAAAGCCGCTCAGATACCACAGACAACATGATCCACATTATCCATCCATTGTGGACTTTATTTCTGTCATTTTTATACGGTTATGTTTTCGATTGCATGAAAGAAAATACTAGGGCCAATTTCCTACTTTTTATAAGGTCACCAACATCAGTAAAGTTACACCAGGAAAGATTTGAACAAAAGTTCAAAGAGGTACTCACACTAAACTGTTATCATGATCAATGTATTTATTATATATATAGTTCTTCCCTGGCAGCTCCCTGACGAAACAGTCAATACTATGATAAAACTTACAGAGTCTGGAATAAAAAACTTAAGAACAGCAGAAAATTAGGCACAGGAAAATCCAAGTTTGTAACCACAGTGAAGTCAGACCTGGTTTCCCTTTGAACTATTTAAGTTTAAATAAGAAACACAGACATAAAGAGGGTGCGAAGGTAGGAGAACTTTACTGTATATTAATAAGCTGTAACAAGAATGTTTGTCATTACCTTCCAACTAAATCAACCATTCTTATAAAGGTTATGTTTCAAAGTAATACATAATAATTTAAACCATATATTGCAATAATGTTAATGGGAGGTATAGCTGAATCCTTTGGCCTGCTTTGAAAATGTACTCATTAGGAGTGTGGGAAAAGAGTCAGAAATAATCCTTTTTGCTACTTATGGCACCTGCTGAGATGAGTAACCCCATTCCAATGTTTATACTCCTTTACCACAATACCTACTAAAAATAGTCACTCCTCAGTCTTCTTAAATGGTGAACAAAGCCAGTAAGTCTATAAAAAACAAGTGTGCAAGGTGACAGCATCCTCACCCTCATTTTCACTTAAATCAAAGCCTCCCCCAAACAGACAGCTATGCTGAAATAAATTGCAATTCTCAGCTAAACTGGTACCACAAGTAAAAATATATATGCCATCTGTTAAAGATAGGATGGCAAACACATGCCATTTGTGGCATATCAGGCCTTTAAGTGTGGCACACCCTAAAATTTAAAATAGCATTATCTGTGGCATACAGAGAAGTTTAAATATGTGTGAATTAAAGAAAAGAAAGAACTATCAAAACAACTTTCCACCTGACAGGCTCTTAACAAGGGAAAACTACAATGCATACTTGCAGCTGGCTAGCTGTGCTCTGCACAAAGTCTGGTGGTGAAAAGCATATGTTGTGTTAAAGATAGCCATCTCTCTAGCTCCAAGGCAAAAAGAAGTTAAGGGACAAGAAGTCTTAGTAGGCCCCAACCAATGTCTTATTTGTCTCCTTTTTTCAAATGACTCCTTGACTACATTAAAGGTGCATAAACCTGTTCATTAACAACTCTTCATTCTGTTTACAGGTCACCTTATGGTCATGTAAGAGAAGGATTAGGGGACGGGTGGAGACTGAGTAGGCCTGGCCTAACCCAGTTGCCTCATGCTAAGGGAGTGATTAGCAAATATTTGCTCATCAATTCTACGCCAGAACATTGGGTATGTAATACAAAACAGCAGTATGAACAAATATCAATCAGGATAGTGTACTGCACAAACCTATGCTGAAATTAACATAAAAAATCCCATTAGCTCTCCCTTGAAATGTATTAGAAAGACATCAAAAATTGCAACTACTAGCTCAAACAAATAATATTTGTAGTTTCATAGTTTATAGGGTCGGAAGGGACCTGAGAAG